GAAACTGCCTGTTAAATGCGTACCCTATGCATGCAACAGGCAGTTTGGCACCCAAAATACCTGTCAAGGTCATCAAAATACGAAAATAATTACAATTAATTACACCCTTACTTCCCTAGTATCTCCTGTTTGTTTAAGATGTAAACTCCAGTTTGTATTAGGCTTTTGAAACATTAATAAACCGATTATTTCATTCAGATACATTATTTACTGCAGAAGTTGCTTGTTTTCGAAAAAATTAAGTAAGTACTGCATATTGCGTACTGCACGCAAGCAGCAATATTCTAACCATTTTTGACACACACGTTAAAATCTTTCAAAATATCATAGTCAGCAAAATGCGAAAATTATGACAATTAATGACGTTTTTAGATTCCAAGTATGTCACTCTTGCTGAAATTTTAAATTTTCGCTTGAATTGGACAATTACACCATTAAAAACCTCTAATTAGTTTGTCCTATAAATACGTAAATCCCTAGCAACTTAAGCAAAATGCTGAAGTAGTGAAACTTAATTTTGTTTTTACTTCCCTAATCACTTCTGTTTGCTAAAGATGTCAATTTCCGACTGAGTAGGTCTGTTAGGACATCAGCACCCACTTAACATATCCAGACACAATTCATAATGTAGAAATATACTTTATTTTTAATAACAAAACATATACTGCATATTACTTACACTTAGCTTGCTCAGAATATTCTTACGCGTAATACAAACTCTTTTGTTGTTAAAAATCCCTTTTTTTTTTTGAAATATTTTAGGAAAAAATGAAAATCATGCGAAACTGCCTGTTAAATGCGTACCGTATGCATGCAACAGGCAGTTTGGCACCAAAGATACCTGTCAAGGTCATCAAAATACGAAAATTATCACAATTAATTACACCTTTACTTCCCTAGTATCTCCTGTTTGTTTAAGATGTAAATTACAGTTTGTATTAGGCTATTGAAATATTAATAAACCGATTATTACGTTCAAATACATTACTTACTGCAGAAGTTGCTTGTTTTCGAAAAAATTAAGTAAGTACTGCATTATGCGTACATACGCAAGCAGCAACAGTTTGACACAGACGCTAAAATTTATCAAAATGTCACAGTCAGCAAATTTTTTTTTTATTTTATTTTATTTTATTCAAATGAGAAAATTATGACAATTAATGACGTTTTTAATTTCTAAGTATTTCACTTTGGCTGAAATTTTAAGTTTTCGCTTGAATTGGACTTTTACACCATTAAAAACCTCTAATTAGTTTGTCCAATAAATACGTAAATCACTGGCAACTTAAGCAAAATGCGAAAGTAGTGAAACTTAATTTTGTTTTTAATTCCCTAACCACTTCTGTTTGCTAAAGATGTCAATTTCCGACTGAGTGGGTCTGTTAGGACATCAGCACCCACTTAACATGTCCAGACACAATTCATAATGTAGAAATATTCTTTTTTTTTAATTACAAAACATATACACTTAGCTTGCTCAGAATATTCTTCCGCGTAATATAAAGTCTTTTGTTGTTAAAAATTCCTTTTTTAACGATGAAATATTTTAGGAAAAAATAAAAATCATGCGAAACTGCCTGTTAAATGCGTACCGTATGCATGCAACAGGCAGTTTGGCACCCAAGATACCTGTCAAGGTCATCAAAATACGAAAATTATTACAATTAATTACACCCTTACTTCCCTAGTATCTCCTGTTTGTTTAAGATGTAAATTGCAGTTTGTATTAGGGTATTGAAACATTAATAAACCGAATTTTACGTTCAAATATATTATTTACTGCAGAACTTGCTTGCTTTCGAAAAAATTAAGTAAGTACTGCATTATGCGTATGGTACGCAAGCGGCAACAGTTTGACACAAACGTTAAAATCTATCAAAATGTCATGGTCAGCAAAATGCGAAAATTATGACAATTAATGACGTTTTTAATTTCTAAGTAAATCACTTTTGCTGAAATTTTAAGTTTTCGCTTGAATTGGACTTTTACACCATTAAAAACCTCTAATTAGTTTGTCCAATAAATCCGTAAATCCCTGGCAACTTAAGCAAAATGAGAAAGTAGTGAAACTCAAGTTTGTTTTTACTTCCCTAACCACTTCTGTTTGCTAAAGATGTCAATTTCCGACTGAGTGGTTCTGTTAGGACATCAGCGTCCATTTAAGATGTCCAGACACAATTCATAATGCAGAAATATTCTTTTTTTTTTAATAAAAAAACATATACTGCAAAATACTTACACTTAGTTTGCTCAGAATATTCTTACGCGTAATATAGAGTCTTTTGTTGTTAAAAATCCCTTTTTTTAACGATGAAATATTTTAGGAAAAAATAAAAATCATGCGAAACTGCCTGTTAAATGCGTACCGTATGCATGCAATAGGCAGTTTGGCACCCAAGATACCTGTCAAGGTCATTAAAATGCGAAAATTATTACAAGTAATTACACCCTTACTTCCCTAGTATCTCCTGTTTGTTTAAGATGTAAACTCCAGTTTGTATTAGGTTATTGAAATATTAATAAATCGATTTTTACGTTCAGATACATTATTTACTGCAGAAGTTGCTTGTTTTCGAAGAAATTAAGTAAGTACTGCATTATGCGTACTGTACGCAAGCAGCAACAATTTGACACACACGCTCAAATTTATCAAAATGTCACAGTCAGCAAAATGAGAAAATTTTGACAATTAATGACGTTTTTAATTTCTAAGTATATCACTTTTGCTGAAATTTTAAGTTTTCGCTTGAATTGGACTTTTACACCATTAAAAACCTCTAATTAGTTTGTCCAAGAAATACGTAAATCCCTGGCAACTTAAGCAAAATGCGAAAGTAGTGAAACTTAATTTTGTTTTTAATTCCCTAACCACTTCTGTTTGCTAAAGATGTCAATTTCCGACTGAGTGGGTCTGTTAGGACATCAGCATCCATTTAACATGTCCAGACACAATTCATAATGCAGAAATTTTCTTTTTTTTTTAATAACAAAACTTATACAGCATAATACTTACACTTAACTTGCTCAGAATATTTTTACGAGTAATATAAAGTCTTTTGTTGTTAAAAATCCCTTTTTTTAGAGATGAAATATTTTAGGGAAAAATAAAAATCATGCGAAACTGCCTGTTAAATGCGTACCGTATGCATGCAACAGGCAGTTTGGCACCAAAGATACCTGTCAAGGTCGGTCATCAAAATAGGAAAATTATTAGAATCAACTACACCCTTACTTCCCTAGTATCTCCTGTTTGTTTAATATGTAAATTGCAGTTTGTATTAGGCTTTTGAAACTGTTAGAATAAGTATTTTTATTTGTGAATTTAAAGTTTGCTTGTTTTTGTTGAGAGACGAATGACGTCAGACGCTGCAAAGCGGATGCAGGTGTCTCGCTCCCTACTCTTTGTTTTATGTCGTTGGAATGTAGTCGAAGTAAGTCTCTGATTGTCGTCGCAAGAAGACGTTTCAATAAAGCTAGACAAGTTTATTCTCCTCAATTAGTTTTGGCCAATTCCAATGTATTCACAGTAGTATTCACAGAAACATTAATAAACCGATTATTACGTTCAGATACAAAATTTACTGCAGAAGTTGCTTGTTTTCGAAAAAATTAAGTATGTGCTGCATAATGCGTACTGTACGCAAGCGGCAACAGTTTGACACACACGTTAAAATTTATCAAAATGTCATAGTCAGCAAAATGAGAAAATTATGACAATTAATGACGTTTTTAATTTCTAAGTATATCATTTTTGCTGAAATTTTTTGTTTTCGTTTGAACTGGACCATTACACCATTAAAAACCTCTAATTAGTTTGTCCAATAAATACGTAATTCCCTGGCAACTTAAGCAAAATGCGAAAGTGGTGAAACTTAATTTTGTTTTTACTTCCCTAATCACTTCTGTTTGCTAAAGATGTTAATTTCCGACTGAGTGGGTCTGTTAGGACATCAGCACCCACTTAACATGTCCAGACACAATTCATAAAGTAGAAATATATTTTTTTTTAATAACAAAACATATACTGCATAATACTTACACTTAACTTGCTCAGAATTTTCTTACGCGTAATATAGGGTCTTTGTTGTCAAAAATCCCTTTTTTTAACCATGAAATATTTTAGGAAAAAATAAAAATCATGCGAAACTGCCTGTTAAATGCGTGCCGTATGCATGCAACAGGCAGTTTGGCACCCAAGATACCTGTCAAGGTCATAAAAATACGAAAATTATTACAATTAATTACACCCTTACTTCCCTAGTATCTCCTGTTTGTTTAAAATGTAAATTACAGTTTGTATTAGGGTATTGAAACATTAATAAACCGATTATTACGTTCAAATACATTATTTACTGCAGAAGTTGCTTGTTTTCGAAAAAATTAAGTAAGTACAGCATAATGCGTACTGTACGCAAGCAGCAACAGTTTGACACACACGTTAAAATCTATCAAAATGTCATAGTCAGTAGGATCCGAAAATTATCACAATTAGGTAATGACGTTTTTTATTTCTAAGTATATCACTTTTGCTGAAATTTTAAGTTTTCGCTTGAATTGGACTTTTACACCATTAAAAACCTCTTATTAGTTTGTCCAATAAATACATAAATTCCTGGCAACTTAAGCAAAATGCAAAAGTAGTGAAACTTAAGTTTGTTTTTACTTCCTTAACCACTTCTGTTTGCTAAAGATGTCAATTTCCGACTGAGTAGGTCTGTTAGGACATCAGCATCCATTTAACATGTCCAGACACAATATCATAATGCAGAAATATTCTTTTTTTTTAATAAAAAAACATATACTGCATAATACTTACACTTAGTTTGCTCAGAATATTCTTACGCGTAATATAAAGTCTTTTATTCAATTTTGACATGTAAACAAACGTTATTTTGCCGTCAGTAGGCCACTAAAGCTTTGGTTTATCCGGTAGCACCATAAAATTTTTAAACCGCTAGCGAAATAAAATTTTTATTTTGCTGTTTTAAAACCATGGTTACCATTTCTGTAATTTCTCCAGTGCCTTGCTGCTCTTTCCATCTAAGGAACTTTTGATACACTTTCTGATCTGGTCTTTTCTGGGAGCAAGTTTTGTCGTTAGAATCTTGCATGATTTTGTAATTTTTCGATCATTTTAGTTTGTTTAAAATAAACAAACACCGTCGCCAGAGTCACATACTAGGTACACACACACACACCTGATATTGTGCACTAAATTCTACGCATATAAAACTTTTATTTGGTCGCTGTCAATTCTGACGTTTCTCGAGTCTGAACTTTGAATCACCAATTTTTTCACAATTTGGGACTTGGAGTTGTCAAAATTGAATAAAATTTTGTATTACACTCGCGTTTAAAATGAATGTGTAACTTGCGGTCTTAAGGTGCTCGCGGCATACGCCGCTCTCGCCTTAAACTGACCGCTCATTAAACATTCACTTTAACCGCTTGTATAATAAATAACTATTGTTGTTAAAAATCCCTTTTTTTAACGATGAAATATTTTAGGAAAAAATAAACATCATGCGAAACTGCCTGTTAAATGCGTACCGTATGCATGCAACAGGCAGTTTGGCACCAAAGATACCTGTCAAGGTCGGTCATCAAAATACGAAAATTATTACAATCAATTACAACCTTACTTCCCTAGTATCTCCTGTTTGTTTAAGATGTAAATTGCAGTTTGTATTAGGCTTTTGAAACATTAATAAACCGATTATTACGTTCAGATACATTATTTACTGCAGAAGAGTTGCTTGTTTTCGAAAAAATTAAGTATGTACTGCATAATGCGTACTGTACGCAAGCGGCAACAGTTTGACAAACACGTTAAAATTTATCAAAATGTCATAGTGTGCAAAATGAGAAAATTATGACAATTAATGACGTTTTTAATTTCTAAGTATATCACTTTTGCTGAAATTTTAAGTTTTCGCTTGAACTGGACCATTACACCATTAAAAATCTCCAATTAGTTTGTCCAATAAATACGTAAATCCCTGGCAACTTAAGCAAAATGCGAAAGTAGTGAAACTTAATTTTGTTTTTACTTCCTTAACCACTTCTGTTTGCTAATGATGTGAATTTCCGACTGAGTAGGTCTGTTAGGACATCAGCACCCACTTAACATGTCCAGACACAATTCATAATGTAGAAATATACTTTTTTTTAAATAACAAAACATATACTGCATAATACTTACACTTAACTTGCTCAGAATTTTCTTACGCGTAATATAGGGTCTTTGTTGTCAAAAATCCCTTTTTTTAACCATGAAATATTTTAGGAAAAAATAAAAATCATGCGAAACTGCCTGTTAAATGCGTACCCTATGCATGCAACAGGCAGTTTGGCACCCAAAATACCTGTCAAGGTCATCAAAATACGAAAATAATTACAATTAATTACACCCTTACTTCCCTAGTATCTCCTGTTTGTTTAAATGTAAATTGCAGTTTGTATTAGGCTTTTGAAATATTAATAAACCGATTATTACGTTCAGATACATTATTTACTGCAGAAGTTGCTTGTTTTCGAAAAAATTAAGTAAGTACTGCATTATGCGTAGTGTACGCAAGCAGCAACAATTTGACACACACGCTCAAATTTATCAAAATGTCACAGTCAGCAAAATGAGAAAGTTTTGACAATTAATGACGTTTTTAATTTATAAGTATATCACTTTTGCTGAAATTTTAAGTTTTCGCTTGAATTGGACTTTTACACCATTAAAAACCTCTAATTAGTTTGTCCAAGAAATACGTAAATCCCTGGTAACTTAAGCAAAATGCGAAAGTAGTGAAACTTAATTTTGTTTTTAATTCCCTAACCACCTCTGTTTGCTAAAGATGTCAATTTCCGACTGAGTGGGTCTGTTAGGACATCAGCATCCATTTAACATGTCCAGACAACAATCCATAATGCAGAAATAGTCTTTTTTTTTTTAATAACAAAACATATCCAGCATAAAACTTACACTTAGCTTGCTCAGAATATTCTTACGCGTAATATAAAGTCTTTTGTTGTTAAAAATCCCTTTTTTTAACGATGAAATATTTTAGGAAAAAATAAAAATCATGCGAAACTGCCTGTTAAATGCGTACCGTATGCATGTAACAGGCAGTTTGGCACCAAAGATACCTGTCAAGGTCGGTCATCAAAATACGAAAATTATTACAATCAATTACACCCTTACTTCCCTAGTATCTCCTGTTTGTTTAAGATGTAAATTGCAGTTTGTATTAGGTTATTGAAACATTAATAAACCGATTTTTACGTTCAGATACATTATTTACTGCAAAACTTGCTTGTTTTCGAAAAAATTTAGTAAGTACTGCATAATGCGTACTGTACGCAAGCAGCAACAGTTTGACACACACGTTAAAATCAACCAAATGTCCTAGTCAGCAAAATGCGAAAATTATAACAATTAATGACGTTTTTAATTTCTAAGTGTATCACTTTTGCGGAAATTTTAAATTTTCGCTTGAATTGGACCATTACACCATTAAAAATCTCCAATTAGTTTGTCCAATAAATACGTAAATCCCTGGCAACTTAAGCAAAATGCGAAAGTAGGGAAACTTAATTTTGTTTTTACTTCCCTAACCACTTTTGTTTGCTAAAGATGTCAATTTCCGACTGAGTTGGTCTGTTAGGACATCAGCATCCATTTAACATGTCCAGACACAATTCATAATGCAGAAATTTTCTTTTTTTTTTTTATAAAAAAACATATACTGCATAATACTTACACTTAGTTTGCTCAGAATATTCTTACGAGTAATATAAAGTCTTTTGTTGTTAAAAATCCCTTTTTTTAGAGATGACATATTTTAGGAAAAAATAAAAATTATGCGAAACTGCCTGTTAAATGCGTACCGTATGCATGCAACAGGCAGTTTGGCACCAAAAATACCTGTCAAGGTCGGTCATCAAAATACGAAAATTATTACAATCAATTACACCCTTACTTCCCTAGTATCTCCTGTTTGTTTAAGATGTAAATTGCAGTTTGTATTAGGCTTTCGAAACATTAATAAACCGATTTTTACGTTCAGATACATTATTTACTGCAGAAGAGTTGCTTGTTTTCGAAAAAATTAAGTAAGTACTGCATTATGCGTACTGTACGCAAGCAGCAACAGTTTGACACACACGCTAAAATTTATAAAATGTCATAGTCAGCAAAATGAGAAAATTTTGACAATTAATGACGTTTTTAATTTTTAAGTATATCACTTTTGCTGAAATTTTAAGTTTTCGCTTGAATTGGACCATTACACCATTAAAAACCTCGAATTAGCTTGTCCAATTAAAACGTAAATCCATGGCAACTTAAGCTAAATGCGAAAGTAGTGAAACTTAATTTTGTTTTTACTTCCTTAACCACTTCTGTTTGCTAATGATGTGAATTTCCGACTGAGTAGGTCTATTAGGACATCAGCACCCACTTAACATGTCCAGACACAATTCATAATGTAGAAATATACTTTTTTTTAAATAACAAAACATATACTGCATAATACTTACACTTAGCTTGCTCAGAATATTCTTAGGCGTAATATAAAATTTTTTGTTGTTAAAAATCCCTTTTTTTAGAGATGAAATATTTTAGGAAAAAATAAAAATCATGCGAAACTGCCTGTTAAATGCGTACCGTATACATGCAACAGGCAGTTTGGCACCAAAGATACCTGTCAAGGTCATCAAAATACGAAAATTATTACAATTAATTACACCCTTACTTCCCTAGTATCTCCTGTTTGTTTAAGATGTAAATTGCAGTTTGTATTAGGCTTTTGAAACATTAATAAACCGATTATTACGTTCAGATACATTATTTACTGCAGAAGAGTTGCTTGTTTTCAAAAAATTAAGTATGTACTGCATAATGCGTACTGTACGCAAGCGGCAACAGTTTGACACACACGTTAAAATTTATCAAAATATCAAAGTCAGCAAAATGAGAAAATTATGACAATTAATGACGTTTTTAATTTCCAAGTACAGTGGACGCCGCTTAATGTGATCACTTTGGGACTCAGACAAATTGATCACACTAACCGGCTGATAATAATAAGCGAAAACCTCCAGCAGAGACAGTAAAACCTCGAAACAAAATAAAATCGTGAACAAGTAGTGTTTATTATGCTGTAGATGAAGGTACATAAACGTTAGAATTTATTTTAAATTTTGGTTACCATTCTGAGAAAGGAACACTCGATTTCCTTTGGCTGAGAAATTTTTAAGGTTACCGCTGATTCATCCATGATGGGAGCGATCATACTGTCTTCAGATCTCCAACTGCTTTGATAATATGCAAAGTGTTTAATCACACCGATAATAAGCTGAGATCTAGTCATTTCAAAGTGCTCATTTTTACATAAGTACTCTAATTTAAAACAGAAAAAATTCGTGCGTTCAGAAGACGAAAACGCACAATTTACGTAAAACTGTCACTGATTGTGGTTGTACAAAGTGATCAGTATAAGCGAATGTACTTTTTAAAGCAATGAATATTCATTAAAACACAATAATACCAGTTTCAGTCGTCTCACTTCTCCAAAAAAGCAATTCCCGTTTGTATAAGAATTGCGAGACTGATCACAATAAGCGAAATATTGATCACAATAAACGGAAAAACTGTAATGCATTAGTATTGCGTGGGACCGTTCCAAGCCATTTTGATCACACTAAGCGGTTGATAACATTAACCGTGATCATATTAAGCGGCGTCTACTGTATATCACTTTTGCTGAAATTTTAAGTTTTCGCTTGAATTGGACCATTACACCATTAAAAACCTCTAATTAGTTTGTCCAATAAAAACGTAAATCCATGGCAACTTAAGCTAAATGCGAAAGTAGTGAAACTTAATTTTGTTTTTACTTCCTTAACCAATTCTGTTTGCTAATGATGTGAATTTCCGACTGAGTAGGTCTGTTAGGACATCAGCACCCACTTAACATGTCCAGACACAATTCATAATGTAGAAATATACTTTTTTTTAAATAACAAAACATATACTGCATAATACTTACACTTAGCTTGCTCAGAATATTCTTACGCGTAATATAAAGTTTTTGTTGTTAAAACTCCCTTTTTTTAG